TCATGGCTATTGCTTGGCCAATTTGCTCTGTGAAAGCTGAGAGAGTGTTTTCTCTCCATGTGACTCTCCTTAGGCACACTCTACATTATCGATCACTTTCCTCTTTGGCCCCATAATCTCCTTGATCAGAAAATTTGGGACACTACTGAGTTACATGACGTTACAGTAGAAGTTCTCATATGTCCTGAGTCCTAATTGACCTTAGAAGGTTAGGGTCAAAATGTTGGTTTTCCTTACAGCCCTTCTTTTTCCCCAATTTTGGTCTGCAAACTTAGGTTGTTAACCATCCAGAAGTCAAGCTTATTGTTATTATCAAACAACTTAGGCTGTTAAGCTTAACCTCACTATCTGTCTGCATATCAAACATCTTAGGCATACTATGGAACAGGTATTTTCATCAACTTACTTTCTTACTTACTTACTTTTCTAAGATAAGAGACTTGCTCTGGGGCCAGGGAGATGGCTCAGTGGAACAAGCGCTTCCCTGGAAAGCACAAGGTCCTGAGTTCAATCCCTGGTTCCACCAAAAAAAAAAAAAAAAAAAAAAAAAAAGACTTACTCTAATTTAGGCTGGCCTGGAACTCACAGCCATCCTCCTACCTCAGCCTCCCAAGGTTGCACTTTGATTACACCACTATGCTATCACACCTGGATATGCTTTCTTTTTTAAAAAAGAAGCTTATGAGCTAAGTAAACTGAATAGCTTTCTAGTGTATTTTCAGATCAGAGGTTTTTCAGGATTTATTTTCTAATTTTCAATTTAGGCTTCATATGAAAATATTGTTTCAGTTTTGTTATCAAAGTTACAGTGTCAGGAGTTTCAGTTTTATTATGTCAAAGTTATCAGTGACAGGAGCTCTCTGCTATAGAAATAAAAATGAAAAGCAAACTAAACCTAAAACAGAAAGAAGAATGAAAAGGGCAAAATTAGGAAATGAACATTCAAAGAGAAAGATGAAACAGACCAATAAATTTCTAGTGATTTATGATATAAGAGCACACTTTATTTATTTATTTATTTATTTATCTATCTATTGTATTTTAGTAAGGGTCTAAAGGTGTCACTACATAGATCAGACTCAGTGATCCACCTATGTTCATCCTTCCAAGAGTTAGGATTACAGTTGCCTACCATCACACCCAATGAGAGCACTCTTTTAAATATTCATTTTTAATAAGAATATATCATGTCTAGCATTGAAGATTTTTAACAATTTGGTCACCAGCTAATGGAGGAGATAGAGCATAAAAGGTACACTGTGAAATTGAGCCACTTTATTTCTGCTTTCCTCCAAAAGCTTTATTTTATAGTGTATCATAGTTTGAGATGCCAGTATTTGAGGGGTATATTCTTTACTCAGTAAATACTGCCTTTTCCCCATTCTGTCAAAAATCATACCTAAGGCTTAAAACTTTTATAATTAATTATTGTGATTGATGAGAGTTAATTTACCATGAATTTGATACATCTCTTTTATCTTTTCTGTCAGCACTAAATGTCATGTATTGACCAAGATTATTCTTCTGTTTTATAATTCTTTTATCCATTTCCCATTTATAAATTTTTAAGGATACAATTTTTTACTTTTAGCAATGAGTACTCCATTCTTTTTTTTATTTTAGGGAAGGGTCTACAGGGTGTTCAGGGTCTCACTACTAGATCAGACTCCTAGTGATCTGCCTGTTTACAGCATCCCAAGAGCTGGGATTACAGGTGCACATCACTATGCCCAATCTCAGTTGCTGTCTCAGTGTGCCCTGAGGGCAGGGCTGGCATGGCAGGCCAGGGCATTGAACCCTTGGCCCCTGCACCTGCTTGCAGGCACTTTAATTTGCTGAGCTATTTGGCTGGCCCTGAGTACTCCATCTTTAAAAGATATGAATAGAAGTATGTGTGTTTTGTAAAAAGGTCATTAAAATTTGAAGAGAGATATTTGATATATGATTGTGATAGATGTATTGATGTCTGCCTTTAAAAATAAAAACATCTCAGTAATTTAAAATATTTTCTTTTACAAGTTGGCCAGGGATACTTTGTCCTGATCCTTTTAAAAAGAAATACATAACGTATGACTCCGATGGAAATGTTGAACAGTATCACATAGAATTCCTGGGTGACCCCCATTCACGATCATGGATAAGTGCAGCATTCGTTGAGCCTTATAACACCACCTTAAAGGTAGGTACAATGTGATCGAGACTTTAGTCATTTGCATTTGTTTTTATTTATGTTCTTTTAAATCAAGTGTGCTAATATAAATAAATATATATGGTCACATTTAGATTTTATAAACAAAATACTATATACTTCTTAAGTTCAAACATTTATATTTAAACTATTATTTCAAAGAAATTGTGGGTATAAAATAGCCACAGGATTTTAATTTGCTTTTTCTAATGGCAATGTAGTTAAAAAACCAACTGAAGCCTTTACATAATTGCCTTCTGAAGCTGTGTTAAGATTATCATTTGGTAACTTCTAAATTCTCCTGGGAAGACTCTAAGTTATAAACCTAGTCACAGAAAAAATTAATTATGGACTGCTAGCTTTTCAAATTTCAAATAGAATATTTTATTATACTAACTCTTTTAATATCTTTTTGACTCTTTTTAAACTTTAAATTCCATCCTATAATTAATAAATACACTGAATTCTCAGATAGATGAATATATAAGTGAACCAAACTGGTCTAAGATTTGTTGTAATAAGAAAAAATCAATTCAATTTATCCATGTCTATATCCCAACATTAAAACTTATCACCTGCCAACCATGTTTTCTTGAAAATCCTGATAAATAGTTGGCAATCACAGGAGATGGGAAGAAGTGTTTCTTCTGTGCCTTCTTCTCTTTCCTAACAGATGAAGGAACCTAGCACCTCATGAAACTGAGCATGGAATCTTATTTAACAATGTGTTAAAGGGCAGGGCATGCCTAAGGTATTATATTTAAATAACAAAATTAGCATCTATTTTTAAATTGTTGGGACAGATGCTATAAGGATTCAACTTCATCAGGATTAATGTGGGTAGTTTTGTCAAAGTGAGCCATACCATTAATCTTCGGACAAAGAAATGGGCCGGAAATGTAGTTCAGTGGCACAGTGCCTTCCTGGCAAGTCTGAGGTCATGAGTGATTCCTGGTAGGCCAAAAAAAAAAAAAAAAAAAAGTGTTGTAGAAGAAAGCCCAACTCAGGAATCAAGATCCTGTATTTTCCAGCCTCCTAAAAGTAATAAAGCAATCTTAGGAGTTCTTACACAATGACCAGAAATCAAGGGCTGCCTAATCATATTTACAGTGCTAGGATGACAACTGGTCTGGAATCAGAGGTGTTCCCCCCCCCCCCTTTGTTTATTCCCTCATTGGTCAGTTGAGGTAGATGGAGAACTTGAGTACCCACACACTTTGCAGCAGGGTTCCTTCTAGACTGTTGTTTCAGGGCACCTTTTTATAAGATCTGCCTCTGCCTTTCACTCTTTTCTTATCTACATATATTTTTCAGTTTGCTCCTTTGTGGTTGAAAGAACAAAGAAGTCTTTTCCCATAGGCATCTTCATTTAATGTCAAAATTTTAATTCCCCTTTACCTGAAATTCAGCTGGTACTTGCCAAATTCTTCTCCTCTGCTCAGACTCCACTCTCTTGGCTATCCAACAATCTACATAAGAGAAACTGGTTGAAAATGAGTAATTTCCAAATGGGAGTAACTAAAATTTACCTGGCTCTTGAAAATGGATATAGTATTGACTCTGACCTTCAATTTTATTGTTAAGACTTCCCATGGATTTAGAATTTTATGGTCCTCTACCAAAATGAAGTGCCTATATTTTCAAATTCTGCATCTGTACTCTATTATATTGAACCAAATATTAAATACATATCCACTACACTCAGGGAAAATAAAGATCATTTATGCAAAAATTAACTTAGGCAATTCTTATATATTTAGGAATCTCTCTATTTCTTCTGTATTCATGTGTTTGAGACATGTTTGTAAAGTAATTTTTGGATTTTTTCAGTATCCATTGTGATTTTTTTCATTTCTAATTGCATTAATTTCAATAATTTGTGTCTTTTATTTCATTTTTGGTAAGATCGGCTAAGGCTTTGTTGATTTTATTGATTCTTTCAAAAACCAAGGTTTTGATTCATTGACTTTTTCCCTCCATTTCATTAATTTGTGTTCTGCTCTTCATAATTTTCCTCCCTGTACAAACTCTGGGTTTGGATTATTCTTGCTTTACTAAGACCAGTTGGTGCATCATTAGTTTATTTATTCAGGTTCATTCTGTTTTTTGATGTGATTGTTTACTTCCGTAAACTTCCCTTCCAGGACTGCATTTACTGTGTACCATAAGTTCCGGTATGTTATATGAGTACTATTATTTAATTGTAGGAACTCTTTGATTTCTTCTCTAATTTTCTCTGTGACACAGTGATTATTCAAGAGTGTACTGTTTAATTTCCATCTGCTAGTATAGTTTCTGCGGTTCCTTTTCCTTTGATTTGTAGTTTCATTGTACTATGATCCAGTAATATTCATGGTAAAATTCTGATTCTTTTCCATTTATTTAGGTATGCTTTATTACAAAAAATATGATCTTTTAGAGAAAGACCTATGTGTGGCCAAAACGAATGTATATTCTGTTATTGTTGGGTGGCACACTTTGTATATTATCTGTATATATCTATTAAGTCCATTTGTTTGAATATCAATTCTTATATATTTCTCCATTGATATTTTGTTTGCTTTATCTACCTATTTGTGATAGTGGAGTATTCAGGTTCCCACCTGAATTATATAATTGTTTTGATATTTTTGTGTCAATGCATTGATGTTTTTCTTACCTTATGTACTTTAGAGTTTATTTTATGAAATTATGTGTTCCATGGTTTGATGCATACATGTTATTAACATAAATGTTATCATGTCCTGTTGATTAGTTCTATTAACAAATATGTAGTGATATTCTTTGTTTCTTCTGATTAGCTTTGCCCTGAATTCCACTTTGTCTAAAAATAGGATACCTACTTCTGCTTTTGAGGAGGCAGTTTTCATTGTATAGAACATTTTTGAACCCTTTAATTTTCAGTTTATGTATTTTTGTATTAAATGTATTTCTTATATACAACATACTATCAAGTTTTATTTATTTTTTGTTCTAATTTATTTTACAGAGAGTATAATAATTGATAATTAGATAAGGTGCACATTTAGAAGACCAGGATGACAGGTCCTCAACCATGAGTTTTGTATTACACATTGCTGTCCTCAAGGTAGTTGCTCAGATCACAGATATCAACATACAGAGTTAGTCAAGATGAAAATTGTAAGCATTAACTGCTATTTTCAGAAAAAATGATGGAAATTATGAATACAATCATCTCAGACATACTTGCATGTTTTCCCCTTTCTTTTTCTCTATCTTTTCTCCTTTCTCTCATCTTTATTGCTTAAGCCTTAATTTCAGTTCCTTTCTGTTTTATTATATCTGTTTACCTTTCAGGTTTTATTCATTCTTTCAGGTTCTTACATTAGGGAGACAATATGATATTTACACATGTGGGTCTGATTTATTTCACTTTTAAGTATAGGTTTTAGTTGCATCCACTTACCCATAAAGATTTGGAGTTTGTCTTTCTTTGTAGCTGAGTAGTAGTCCATTGTACAAAAAAAAACCTACATCTTTTTCAACCATTCCTCAAGTGCTGGGCATTTTGATTGTTTCCAAGATTTGGCTATGTCAAATTGTGATGCTATAACATGGGTGCATATATATCACTATGGTATACTGTTTTCAGTTCTTTTGGAAAAATATTCAGAAGGGGAAGGAAGAACTGGGTTGAATGTGATTTCCAGTGCCAGTTTTTTTAGAAGGCTCCATGCTGATTTCCTTAGTGGTTGTACCAGTCTACATTCCCACCAGTAGTGGAGAAGGGTTCCTTTTTCCCCATAGCCACTCTAGCATTTCTTACTATTTTGTTTCTTTATGATAGCCATTCTTTCTGGGGTGACAAGGTATCTCAATGTTGTTTGAATTTGCATTTCTTGAATGGCTAGTGCTGTGGAACATATTTTCATGTATTTATTTGCCACTTGTATTTCTTGCTCTGAGAAGTGTTTATGCATCTCACATGCCCAGTTTGCATTGGGTTTTTAAATTTTGGGGGTCAAATTTTTCTTGATTTGTTCTGTTAATCTATGTCTTTCTGTTGGTAACAGAAGTCCATTTACATTGATATTTATAACTGACAGATACTGATTTATACCAATCATTGTATTAATTGTGTATTGATATTTTGCTTTCTTTCCCTTCTACTATCCCTACCCAATGTATTAATGTATAATATATTTTGGCATCATTAGCTTCATTGTCTCATTCTGAAGGATATCCTTCAGAACTTTTTGCTTGAGTACTGTTTAAGGGTCATGCATTTCTGTAGGTCTTCTTTATTGTGTTTTATTTCTTTATCAATTTTGAAGGGTACTTTTGTAGGATATAACAGTATGAGTTGCAAAGTGTCTCCTTTTAGAGCTTCATTTCATCTTTCTGATTGCCTTTAAGATGTATAGTGAGAAATGTATTGTAGTTAAGTCTTTGTTCTTTTTTATTTCTAGCAGCCTTTAAGATTCTGTTTTTTTGTTGTATTTCTGGGATTTTGATTATTATGTGGTGTAGAATTATTTTTTTGTTATTGTTTGTCTGTGATCATTGCTAGTTGGGATTCTATATGTTTCCCTCACCTGTATGTTAAATTATTTTACCTTGGCTGCAAAGGATTTTTTTTATTACTTGTTTAAATATTTTGGGCTATCTTCTGCTATATTGTTGTTTCCAGTTACTCTTGTATTAGACCTCTAGTTGGTTAGGAGCAGTTAGACCTATTTTTCACCTTCCCTTGTGTTTTTTAAAGTATCTCTCATTAATTGATCACTGAGCATAGCCCTGTCTTCTATGTCTGATGCTTTGTCTTTGAGTTGGTACCCATTGTATCAATCATGTTTTTAATCACGTGTACTGCAGTTTGAAACTTTCATGTGGACTCCCATTCTTTTCTTTGCTGAGGATTCATATTTTGCATCTCTTTCTTTAGCTTCACTAGCTGCTTATTAGTGTCCTCTATACTTGCTGGTCACTTCCTTCATTACATTCACTATGTGCTTAGTTATATCTTTTTA